AAAACCACCACTTTAATCAAACGGCGGCGGAGGGCGGCGGCGCTTGAATTTGATAAAAAAAAAGGCTAATGTGAACGGGTGGTGAAGCTGAATCTGGGCTCTGATAATTATTTGATTGGGGTTTATTTATTTGTTTTGATTTAGATTTCTGTATAGATCCTGTTAATTGGGTTTCTAGATCTGGGGTTTCTATCCGGATCAGGTTTTTTTTTTCTTCATCAATGGCCGCCGCGTATACTTTGCCTGTCACGGCTGCCCAGGTTATTTTCTTAATTTATTATTAGAAACGTTTATATAACAATGCACAGCTTTAAATATTTTATTTCGATTGTTGTTTTGAATGTTCTTGATTAATGGATGCATGAATGTACCTTTTGATTTGATTTTATTTGATTGGATTGCATAAAGAGTATTTTTTTTCCCTGTTCATGGCAAGATGATGTTTATGAGTTAAATATTGTTTGTTTGCGTGATGTCGTTGGTTTATTTATTTATACACGCAGCATTGTTTTGTTTTGTTTTGTTTTTTTTTCGTGTCAAGTGTTGGTTTTGCCCTTTTGGAAACAAAGAACTTGCATTTAAAGACATGACAAATAATTCGGTTTTGTTATCAATGGCTTTGTTAATAAGAAGAATCTAATAGTCCCCGCCTTTTTTTCGTAATCGACTACCTTCAAATAATAATTTTTTAACCGTTGATTTTGACGACACGTGCCATAGTTTATAGAACGATAAAAGGATCCATCTACATTCATTAGTCATTACATTCCGTTTTCTCCAAGATTTTGTATATCGGTAACGTTAATCTATTACTACCGAAAAGACGCTAAGTTATTCACATTAACACGTGTTGTTTGTATCTTCGTCTTTTTTTTTGTTTAGGTGGGGACGTACTTTGTGGGGCAGTACTATCAGATGCTACAGAGCCAGCCCGAGTTCGTGCACCAGTTTTACAGCGATGCAAGCACCATGCTTCGGATCGAAGGAAACACGAGAGAGACTGCAACTGCTATGCTGGTATGAAACATCTTGATTATGTGCATTCATTGCTAATAACTTGAAGCTTAAATTTAGTAATAACGGATATTAAGTTATTAACATTCTTACAATATTCAATACTATGATTATGTAATTATGTATAATTGCTAAAGCCCTTGTTGATTAGATTGATGCCCCTAGATATTTTGAATGCAATGTAATTATTTTCTGGGTAAATAACGGCCACCCCCTGAGGTAAGGTCAAATTACGAAAAAACAAGTCACGTTTGGGTAATTACAACCACCTCCCTCAACTATGAATCTTCTTAAACATCGACCCTTGTGGTGTCAAATTTTGTGGAATCTTCCAGATTATGTGGAATATTCTCCAGTTTGTAACCGTTTTATCCCATTCGAGCTCCACATTTTGAAACAAGATGCTCTTGACTTGTAAATATGGTGCATCATAAACTGCATTTTTGCACATAATGAGTACAAACTAGAGAATACATAGATTAAAAGGTTTAGCTACTCATGTTCTCTACGAAAAACATCATAAAAATATTAAAATACATAGATTCAGAAAAGATAGATGAAAGAAGAATTATGATGAAGATTCGTCAGGTCTTCGTCTTCGATTCTCCGTTCTCTCGCTCCTCTTGCTCTAAGATTGTGTAAAAGGTTTTCTAATTCGTGCTTGTCTTTGCCTTTAAATAGATGCTCGTCTTGGTAAGAAAATCTGGGTTTCTTTATGTGATTAAAACTCCAAAATTGCTTTTAAATAGATGCTCGTCTTGGTAAGAAAATCTGGGTTTCCTTATGTGATTAAAACTCTAAAATTGCTTTCAGCGTGTTTTCGCACGGCCGGGCGAGAATCAGTATATTTCTCACACAGCCGTCAAATGTATCGAAGCTTTCTGCCCAAATTCTGCAGTTGGCACGGCCGTGCTAGTAATAGACTATTTTTCACACTACCATGCCAGGCTAATTTTCAGCCTCCGATTGTTTTCTTCCGTTTTTGCTCATTTCATCCTTGAAACTCCCGAACCTTGAAATTGTACCTAAAATACAACAAACCAATAATTAAGCACCATAAAATCGATAAAAGTATACAAAAACCCTCGTAAGGAATATATTGAGTGTAAAATATACACTCAACAGGTATCTAGAAGATTATGTTGAATTTGACACCATAAGGCTGGACGTGTAAGAAGATTAGTTGAGGGAGGTGGTTGTAATTACCCAAATAGGAGGGTTTTTTTTGTAATTTGACCTTATTTTGTTCATGTATAGCTTGCTCTGTTTCTGACATATTCATAGATCATAAGGTACTTTCCGACATTGTAGTTTTATGAGGTTTAGTTATGCCCTCGTTTTAAATGAAACTGACAAGTACCTTATGGTGGTTGATCCTAGGTAATTTGGCCAAGAAAGTCGTCTCGTCTTTTTTTTTTTTTTTTTTTTTTTTTTTTTCACACTAGTTGGTTTGTTAGTTTCCTTTCTTAAACATGTAAATGCTGAAATGATAAGTGCCATAAGGCATACATGTTTCTTTATAGCGTATCTTTTAACCGATTCTTACACATCTATAAACTCTTGCATCAAATAGTGACGGAATCTATATTGAGTTCTCTTGTATGTTTTGCAGAAAATCCACCAACTTGTTATGTCGCTCAGTTATACAGGGATAGAAATAAAGACTGCACACTCTTTAGAATCTTGGAACGGCGGAGTTCTAGTGATGGTTTCGGGTTCCGTGCATGTGACCAATTTTAACGTGAGAAAGAAATTTGTGGAGACCTTTTTCCTTGCGCCTCAAGAAAAGGGATTCTTTGTTCTCAACGATGTTTTCCATTATGTTGATGAAGAACAGATTGTGCAGTATCCGATTGCTTATTTACCTCGAAGCAATCTTGACGCCAATCTCAATTTTTCAGCTACGGTTCCAGAACAAGGTTTCCTTTTTTTTCTCTTTTCGTTTATCCTTATCCATAATTATTTAATTCTAAAATATAATTGGTAAAAAAATTGTCACAATTTTGGGAAACAATATATTTCTATCCAAACGTTAGTATCAATACCAGCGTGCTTCACATTTTGTCACAATTGTCTAATTTTCAGCGAGAAAATGTATTCTGTAAAAAAATATTCAAAATAATTTTCTGAATATACGACCATTTGCAGTAAGCAGCTACATGCTGGATGGAGATATTCAGCCGAGGGAATTTGTGGCTCCTGCAAAGGTTCAAGACAACGGTCCACTCAGTAATTATAACTATCTCGACGAACAGCTACATCAAGAACCTGAAACAGAAATTATCGTGGATAACAATTTTGCTGTGCATTCAAACGGTTCAGTTCACGGAACAATGAACTCTATACCCGACCATTTTTCACCCCCGATCGAGGAACCTGTCGTGGAGACTCAGAAACATACTTACGCTTCTATTGTAAGTAATCTCATCTAAGCCTCACATCTTTTGCATCTGATATTGATTGTAACAGTTTCCTAATTTAGCTTAGAGTTACGTGTATATATATCGAAGTATTCTTTACAGCATCGAGAGATGGCTTTTGATGAGTGTAGTTGTCACTTGATTGTAAAGGTTCGTTAAACTTTCGATTATGATTTAAAGTTGCAGGTTTCAAAAGGACAATCTCCTGCAGCAGCGCCCTCTCAGTCCACTGTTAACAAGCCCGTTTCTTCGGAGTCGAATCACGTACAGGAACCACAAAACCCGATCGAAGTGTCTGGCGTGGAAACCCCAGAAGAAGCATATTTTCTTGACGATGAAGGTAACTTCTATTTCAGCTGTTGTAATGATTGAGTAGTAGAGTTTGTTAGTGTAGTTAAATGGTTTTATTGCGTTTAGTGCCCCCGTGTTCACTCTTAACTGTCAAAAAACTCCCCGTATTATAAGTAATAGCAATAACCCCCCTATGATTCAATTTTATTAGCAAATTACACCTAAAAACACACCATGTAGAGGGTTGTGTGCTAAAAAAAATGAACCATAAGGGGCTTTATGCCAAATATTTATAACATTAGGGGTCTTTTTAGCAATTTTGTATAACAAATTAAATCTGCACAATGAGACATTCGGAGATATGTTGCTGATATGTGTTCCTTTTAAATATGTTTCTTTATAGTTGAATTAAAGTCGGTTTACGTGAGAAATGTTCCATCAACGATGTCGGCTTCTGAAATTGGCGAGGAATTTGAGAAGTTTGGTAAACTGAAGCCTGACGGTGTAGCCATTAGAACCCGCAAGGTCCGTTTTCTTGCTTTTCTTTCTTTCTTTTTCTTTTCTTTCTTTTGAAGTAAAATTACTGAAATTTGTGACTTGAATTTTATGCAGGATATAGATATATGCTATGCATTTGTAGAATTCGAAGATATCTCCGGGGTGAATAATGCAATTAAGGTTTGAACATATGTACCTCTTAAATTTAAGAAATTAAATCAATAAACCCTCCGGGGTGCATAATGCAATTAAGGTTTCAACATTTTATTGCAGTTAATTAAACAAGACCCCTCTGATGAATATCTCGATTCTGAAACTTTATTTTACATGTTTTACTTGTAGGCATCCACGGTTCAGATTGGCGGTTACCAGCTCTACATTGAAGGGCGGAGACCCAACAGAAGCTTCTATTTTCGAGGAGGAAGTACGTATTTACTATACTCTATTCAAGTCTTTTTTCTGTGGTTTATTTATAGCATTTATCTTAATATTCGACTTGTGGGCATATACACTTTACGAAGCATTTAATAGAGTTTACTTTGGGTAGTATTATTAATTGATAAATTTGTCGAAACGCAATATATTAACATTCAAGCATTAATTGAGTTCCCGAATCCCCTACGTTTTGTTTATCCAACACTTTGCATGGATAATCTTCTAAGGCCTCATTTGGTTACTAAGATAATATTAGCCAAGATAATCTTATGAAACCCCAATACACAATTAGCCAATATTAGAGCCGGTTTTTTTCTTTTTCCAAAATTACGGGCCGTCCTGAATAGTTGTATGAGTAAGCAAACATCCAATAAGGTCTAATTATTTAATTAGCTAATCTTACTAACCAAACAAGGCCCTAGTGACAGACGGCAGCAAGATTTAGGAAATTTTTATCTTTTTTATTTATTATTGTCTATGTGTGTGTGTTCATAGAATTAATCTTCAATTAGGACAATTACAGTGAAAACTTGATGAATCTCGTTTTGTTTCGTCTCATGAAAATTAGTTTCTATATTTGAAAACACTAAATTTATCTCGTTATTTTGAACAGGGGGAAGAGGAGGTAGCAGAGGACGGTTTAGCTATCACATGGAAGGAACAAGGGGGCGATTTGGGGGCCGTGGATTTGGCAGATCGAACAATCAAGATTCGTTTGACGGTGATTATAATAACAGACCAAGGGGTAATAACGGTTTCTACAGACAGACAGAAAGGGCCTACTCTGCCAATCATCGAGTTACGAGGATTGGACAACCCTCGTCTGAATGAACAAGTCTTCGGACAGAGTCTTTCCCGGAATCTTCTTTTAACATTTGCCGCCATAGTTTTCGATTCTTTCCCCTTTATTTTAGAAATTGAAGCAGTAAATTATACATTTTTGGTTGGGGGTTGTCTCTGTTTATGATTATTCTTGTTATTGTAGTAATACTGATGAGAATTTTGGTTCTTTATACAAAACATAGCTGAGTTTTTAATATAATCTGGGAAATGGAACCTTGTAACTTGGAAGATCTTTTGATCACTCTGTGGGGTCATTCAGAATTTTTTTTAGTCTACATATTTGAAAGTGTGAGCTGCTCTTTATATATATATATATATATATATATATATATATATATATATATATATATATATATATATATATATATATATATATATATATGGGTAAATTACGGCGACTCCGAGGTAGGGTCAAATTACGAAGGCCAAAAAAAATCTGTTTGGGTAATTACAATTACCCCTCAATTATGAATCTTCTTATGCATAAAATGTCAAACTCTATATAATCTTCTAGATTCAGTGGAATGTTCTCTAATTTGTAGTCATTTTGTATAAAAGTGCAGTTTTTGATGCACGATAATCTGATGTTTACTGGTCTAAGGGAAACACGTTATGATCATATTGATTCAAAATGTGGAGCTCGAAGGGACTAAACTGGGTACAAACTGGAGAAATTTCAACATAATCTAGAAAATTTCACAAAATTTGATATTAGAGTGAACATGTAAGAATATTCATAGTTGAGGGGTGATTGTAATTACTCAAACACGAAGGGTTTTTTTTTCTCGTAATTTGACATTTCCTTAGGGGGTGGGGTTGGCCGCAAAACATTAAGGTCACCGACCAAATAAAACACTTTCGGACAGAAAAGTAGGGCACATGAAGATTTATTATATTATCGATCAGAACGACATCGTATATGCTTTTGCAAATTCAATTACAATATATTCGAATGAGGTGCAACTTTTCCAACTCTATTTAGTATTCTGATTGTCTAAGATACCACTTGCCCTGTTTCGTAAATGCATTCCTATGAAATTTCATTATATTCTCGTTTTACATCTGTTCTTCAGCCTCCGTTTCCCAAAGAAATTTAGCATATGCCGCCAGCACATCGCTGTAACCAAAACAAGAATCGATGTTTCAAACATTTGCAACTACGCAGAGAAAACACAACATATAATACCGTAGTTTGCAATAACAACACTAATTTTGATGTCGTAAATAAAACACATGAGTTTGTCTTTTTTTTCCTTTACCTGTCTTGTGGAGTTGCTTCAACTGCTCGTTCGAAGTAGGCTAGAGCTCTTTCATAATCTCGGTGAAGCTGCCAAACTATAGTAGCATTTAGAGATAGCATCTCCCCGTTTTCGGGGTCTGCTAGTATTGCACGCGTGTAATATTCTTCGGCTCCGTTGAGGTCTCCTTTCGACTGTCATTAAAACAACGAATAATATATTACCATGTTGTAATGAAAAGCCTGCTTTCGACCAATAATAACTAATCATTTGAAGATTCCAAAAATTGTGGCCCCAAATCCCTCAATCCGAATAAAGCATAGAGAAACAATAATTTATTTACTTGATGCAAAAACCGAGCATAATTTCCAAGAAACAAAGGGTTACGAGGATTTTCATCGACCATCCTCTTTAAGTAATCCTCGTCTAAGTGTGTGCTTATGTAAGAAACTTCATTACTCGAATCACCAAAACCATCAACGTTAACTCCGAGCCCCATCGCCAGATGCATAGACGGGCTTGATGGCCTCTTTTCTTTTTCGAAATCTGCAGTCGAGACATCCGCAAGGTCTGAGCTTTCATCAACCTGCCATTTCATTAAAACCAAAATTTTTTTGATCTCTAAACGTAATCTCTAACCTCAACTACTTATGCAAGAACTAAACAACAAACAACAACCTCAGTGTTAGACAAGTGTTCTTCCTCGCTTTCATCAATTTTCCACAAGAAACTCGCGTATGCAGCAAGAACATTGCTGAAAACAATTATAAAAAAAAAAAAACTCAGCCATTACACTACACACACACACACACACACACACACACACACACACACATATATATATATATATAAGGTTTCTTGTTTGCGTTTGAACTGTAGAGTTACCTATCTTGAGGAGAAGCCTGGACTGCCCTTTCGAAATAATTCGAGGCTCTAATTTGATCACCATGGATTTCCCACACAAGCTTTGCATACTGAGACAGTGCTTCACCATCTTTCGGATCCGCCTCCGTCGCCCGGTAATAATATTCCTCTGCACCGGCGAAATCCCATTTCGACTGTCACAATTTTACGACATTTCACCGATTATCAGAAATCAGATAAAAATTTCAATACTTGGGATAATAAATTTCAGAAAATTCGCACATAATAAATTCAATAAACAATGAACAAAACTCAATTGAATAAAAAAAAAAGGAACCAACCTCTAGGTATTGAGCATAATTTCTCAAAATCAATGGGTTAGAAGGATCTCTTCGAACCATTTTACTGTAATGCATATCAGGATCACCATCACGATCAGAATCCGACGGCTCAAATTCATCCCCACCGCCTCGAATTTCAATTTTGGGATCTTCGGATTTGTTCGATGCCCTAACTTCTTCTTCTTCGTCTTCAACACCATCGTCTTCCTCAATCAATCGCATCTCGGTTCGGCCGAAGCTAAATTGAGAGTCTAAGCTTTTACCAGCAGCGGCGATTCCCTTATTCTCAATCAGCTTCTGTTTGATCAAATCTTCATTTGTGGATTCTTCAACCCCAAACTTATCATCGTCGGCGCCGTATATTGAAAACGATGGCTCTGTGCGCAACATTTGATTTTCCGATTGTTTTTCGCCCAATCTGTTGTCACACTGAATTCAGGGAAATAAAAAAATCAAGAATCGAAAGTGGATAATTGATTGCAAGCAGATAAAAACTCAAATGAGGATTATGAAAAATGCGATTGATTTAGGGTTTTTTTTTTTTTTTTTTTTTTTTTTTTTTTTCTGAGTAGAGAGTTTGAGTGGAGTGGAGCTTATGAAAATGTGATTGAATTTCTGGTTTGTTTGTTTAAATAGTGAAACTTTGTGACCGTACGTGAATAGAGAGAGAGAGAGAGATAAGATTTAAGAAATGCCGCTTTATTTGATTTGAAAGCAACACCTTTTTTTATTTGGGGAAGTTGACTTTGTAATTATTTATCGGGTAAATTACAATCACCCCTCTGAGGTATGATCAAATTACAAACAACCCTCTCTTGTTTGGATAATTACAATCACCCTCTTAACTATAAATGTTTTTACACGTCCACCCTTGCATTTTCAAATTTAGTGGAATTTTCGAGATTATATGAATTTTTATCATTTTGGTACCCGTTTTATCCTATTCGAACTCCACATTTTGAAGCAAGATAATCATAATATGTGTTTTTAAGCTTGTATAAATGAGATTTTGGTGCATCTAAAACTGTATTTATACACAAAACGAGTACATACTAGAGCACATTTCACGAAATCTAGATGATTATGTTAGAATTTGACACCATAAGAGTGGAGGTGTAAGAAAAAATCATAGTTGAGGGGTAGATGTAATTATCCAAACAAGAGGGTTTTTTTCGTAAATTAACCATACCTCAGAGGATTATTATTATTATTATTATTATTATTATTATTATTATTATTATTATTATTATTATTATTATTATTATTATTATTATTATTATTATTATTATTATTATTATTATTATTATTTTGAGAATCGAGAGAACTATATTAGGCAACCGATGCCCAAACTAGCTTGTTACAATGCATATTAGCTAGCTCATGTGAAAGAAAGCGAACAATAAGAAAAGGAAACAAAAAATTATCAGCGTTCAAACATTCCTTAAACCTCAGGAACCATGTGAGATCTCCGTATATATATCCGATACTAGCATAAATGGATCGCGATCGCCCACCGAAATTGTGTCCATACCCCGACATTTAGTAATAACATGCATCGTTATGTCATCTTCATTATTGCGTCGTGGAAAACGATTTAACGCGTAAACTAACTTAGCAAACAATTAAGAGGAAATATTTATCACCATGGCCAAGCAACTCTATAGCCACCATTTGATTTAATAATTTTAAGAATTGGCTGATTATTAGAATATGAAATTAAGGTTAAGACTTGAGAGCATTTCTCCCCAAATCAATTTCGTTTTGTTTTCTAAATGGTTTCACCTAAGATGAATTGTGAATATTTTAAAAATTGAAAATCGTAGTGATCAAATTGTTCGTGGAAAAAAAAAGAGAGCACTTTTTTTATTAAAATAAAAATAAGAAATGGGAGACTTTCGTTGATTTTTTTTTTAAAAAACGTTTTTTTATTAAAATATAAATATTGAATCATTTAAAATAGAATTTTATAATATATATATTTATAAAAATTCTCTTAGACTTATTAAGGTCATAGGTTTTTGTAAAAAAAAAAAAAAATTGAAGATATCCGACGTGGACAAACATAGGCTAAAAAACGGATGCTCCCCAAGTAACGACAATCCATTTTCGACGTTTGACAACGTTAGTCAAACAAACAAACACACACACAATGATTATTGTCTCTCCTTAGCCCTTCCCCCCTAATTTCATGTTCTTTAGAGAGAGAGAGAGAGGCCAATATTTTTTCCCCTGCTCGCTTTTCTCCTCCTCCTTCCCCCCCTCCGTTTTCCCTCGTCGTCACCCTTCTCCCACACGGCGGCGGGAGGGAATTCACCGTCAACCACCGCACAATCAACCACCGCCACGCCACGCCACCGCGCTTGAGAATTTTTTTTTTTCTTTAATTCGTATGTTGGGGTTCCATTTCCGGCAAGATCATGGCGCCGTCGAAACCGTTCCAGCTTCTGGAAATAAACATAATCTCCGCCCAGGATCTGGAGCCGGTGTCCCGGAAAATGCGGACGTACGCCACCGCGTGGATGCACCAGAGCCGGAAGCTGTCGTCGTGCGTGGACAATGAGGGGAAGACGAATCCTACGTGGAACGACAAGTTCGTGTTCCGCGTCGACGACGAGTTCCTCCGTCAGGACACCTCCGCCATCATGATCGAGATCTACGCCACCCACTGGTTCCGCGACGTACTCGTCGGCACCGTCCGCGTGCTCGTCGGAAACCTCATCCCTCCTCCCACCCGCACCCACCAGCAGACCAACCATTACACCGGCGGCATGCGGTTTGTCGCCCTCCAGGTATATTTTTCTCGATTGTACGTTAACTGTAGATCTACATATAATCACGCACACACCCATGTGTGTGCGCGCTTAGTGGGTGATGGTGTAATTAAATGACCTGATGTAGCATATAACTTTCATCGGAAATGGCATAAACGCCTCTCGATTGTGGAAATTTATAACATGATTAATTAATTATTGAAAATAAAAAGAAAATTAATATTACTTCTTGAAACTCATTCTTGTTTATGTAATAAGAACTTCGATCCCTCTATCCCACATTATGTGTCGATTTTATATTTGCACGTACGTGTATTAAGAATTTCAATAAATGTGGCTCGAATTTTAGAAAATTACAAAACAAATTTGACTGAAATACCCTTTGTCCACTAATCTATCTCTCCATCAAAATGAGAAGGAAGTCATGTGATTCTCCGGTATTGAAATTCTAAAGTAGCAGATTATATGAAATAAAAGTGATAGATATTGTGGAATATGTGGAGTAATATGCTAGTAAAACAAACATTATATATGATTATATATGTGTAAGAATGAAGGTCACAATGTATATTTACATCTAATTAGTTTCATATGCTTCGATTACGAGACAGGTGCGAAGGCCATCGGGGCGCCCGCAGGGCATACTAAACATCGGTGTGGCCTTACTCGACAGCTCGATGAGGAGCATGCCTCTATACCGGCAACTCAGCATGTCAGCCGTTGGATTCCGTGACTTGATGGACGGCCCACAGAACCTCCCTCAACAAGCCGAAAAGAATATTTCGATCGACAATAACGCGAAGCCCATTTTGCGTAGATCGAAAAGCGAACGCAGCGAACTCGTTGGACTCGACCACTTCTCCCCCAACAGCTCCATGATCTTAGTAAAAGGCAAAGCACCGGAGCCTAAAGAGAGCTCGATTATAAGTATTTCCGAATGCATCGTTCCGTTTAAAAATACAGGCAAGGCTAGCTCGGTTATCAATGGTGCAGAGCTTAGAGAGAAGCCGAGGCAGAGGGGCAAAAAGGGAAAAGCAGGTTCCGTCGTCAGCGATTCGATCGTCAGCAAAGAGTCGACCAGCTTTCGCAAGAACGAAACCCCCGTCTTGATCAAGAAAATCGAGGAGGGCAATACCGTAAATTTCCCGAAAGAATCTAAAGCCGCCGTCACCACACCGCCACCAGTGGCGACGATCGGAAAACCCATCTCGAAGTACGTGATCGGGGCTCCGGCCAAGAAAGGGGGGTCGATATGGTCGGATTCCGAGGTGGGGCCCTCGCCGTCTGAGGTGGCGGCCGCCATGGCGGACCAGAGGCGGTACCCCTTGGAGGACAACCAGAGCTCGGTTTTGGACGGTTGGAGCGTGGACGAGAGCGTTGAAGGGCTGAGATCGAAGCTGGACAGGTGGCGGATGGAGCTGCCTCCGTTGTACGATGACCGTGGAGGATGCTCTTCGAGTAGCTATAAATCTTCGACGGTGCGCCACGCGAGGAGGCACACGGATAACGGGAGCGGTTTGTTTTCTTGCTTTGGGAATATTTTCGGTTACGAGTGCCAATGCGTGTGCGGTAAGCCGAGTGCCGGGAAAAGGAGCGCTAGCGCGAGGTTTCATAATAGCCCTTCCACTCTCACTCCCGGACGATCGTTCCTTTGATTTACCATTACGTACAACACCTGCATTTTCGGAAAATAAATCACCGTTTTCTGCCCATATCTTTTTTCTCATTGATGATATTAGGTGTAATTTTTTTTTTCTTTCATGAACTTGTAGTTATATGTTTGTTTTCGTGTTTTTTTCATAACATACATGTTTTTTTTTCTTTTTTTTTTTTGTTGTTATTCTATTGTAAAGATGTAAAATAAATTCTTGGATGATCCTTTTATTTCATGCAGTTTGTTTTTATGGTTATGAATACATTTGTGTTCACTTTGAAGTTGCTGATTTACATGCACATATATATGGGGGATTGATTGCATATTGTGTTACATATGCTTACAAGCAGTGGCGGAGTCGGCATACGACCAAGCTCTTTACATTACTCGAATTCATATTATATATTTGATATAAAAAATTATTAAAAAATAAAAATAAAAAATCGTGTATAGTAGCATTATCGGGGCCCCTGGAAAAATTAATGCATTTGACCCGTGTCAACTTAAAATTCTGGCTCTACTAGTGCTGAAAAGACATATTTATTACTAATTTTACTTGGTGCTCTAATTATTTCACTAATTAAACCTCACTTTGGCCAATTTTTTTTGTTAATTAGCTAGTGGTAGGCATGTGTTTTTCTAGGTCTCTACTTTCCAAAACAAAGTTCTGTGCCAGCAGAATGTTCTCTGCATAGTAGACACCGCAATCTCTCTCTCTCTCTTTCTCTCTCTCTCTCTCTCTCTCTCTCTCTCTCTATATATATATATATATATATATATATATATATATATATATATATATATATATATATATATTATGGAGCACCACAATTTTTCCATTATGTTTTGTGAAAAGACTCAATCCTCCACTTTTCTTTTTAACATAGCCTTTCTTGTTAAAGTTGACACATCCTAATCCTTATTAAGATCTTAGCAAATCTTGGTAATGATGATTAACAAGGAATTATATTTGATTATTAATTAAATATAAGTTGAGCTAAAGTTTTAGACTGTACCTTAAATTGTTAATTTCAATTTAAAAGGCACTAATGTAATAAATAACATTTACTCTTATTTTTTTGGTTTTTTCTTGTACATTTATCTTATGCATATTTTTTCTCATGCACTATAGTCATAAATCATTCATGTTTTATATTACTTAAATGTGTAGAATAAATAATAATATTTAAAAACTATTTATTTTATAAGCTATTTGAATTAATAATTATCATTTAAATATATGTTTAAAACAATAAATATTTTGAGATGGTAAAATCTCATTATTATAAGTTTCTTTCACATTATTTTTGTAGCGTGTAGAACACTACTAACTCAATAATTATGTATCTAATATAAATGAGATTTATTTATTTCTTTTTCTTTTATTTTTGGTTCAAAAGTATTTTTCTTTTGCCATTCTAACCCTTAAAAAGAATTAAATCACCACCTTTAGCCCTTTATCATCATGGCTGTCAAACTTTTTGTTAGTTGTAATTAATACCAAAAATTTTCAATTCAAAAAGTAGTCAATGAGGGTGTTGACTGTCGCCCTTTGTGTTTCCAACAATTTAATTAATTAATTAATTTCCAAAAAGAATTGCATTTTATAATACGTACACTTAAAAAAAAAATAAGGTGTACATATATTTGTAGGCCTCGAGAAAGATTCATTCTTGTCCCATTGGTGACATGAGTGCATGAATAAAAAGTTTAGTACAACAATTTTTAAGCATGAAGAAATAAATTATTGTTGTCGGGAAAAGTGAATTGATTCACTATTATATATTATAGTGCTAACTAGTAAATTATATTTACCGCTTGAATTTTGGATTCTGAAAATATATTAAATGGCATCGGTAAAATATATTAAATGGAATCTGAAAATATATTAAAAGAACAAATATCATGGTGCCACATCTTTTGCAGCGGTTATACATGTTCCACCTATCTTTGGCGGAACTGTAAATGGCATCGGCTGTTCTGGTGATGTAGACGAACTCTCTCGATTTTCCCACTTTTTGTGATCACTCGCATTCCTCTTGTCTTATCATTAGTTTGGATTATCTGTTTTATCCGTATTATTCTATTTTTAACTAGTTTTTGCTATTTACAATACTGCAGAAAACTCTTTATGTACTAATTATCTTTATAGACTAATTAATTTTTAATCTATAGACAGATTAAGTGTTTCGGGCCAACCCCACCCTCATAGTGTATCTTTCTTCTAAAAGAAAAAAAAAACCATTATTATATATATCTCCAATTCCAAATACAAAAAGAAATGTTTAAAAAATCTAAAATAAAATTAGAATTACAAATTGAATTTTTATTTTTGCGGAAAAAAAGGAGTAAATTACAATCACTCCCATGAGGTAAGATCTACTTATGGAAAACCCCTCATTTTTTCATAATTACATTAACTCCTTGCAATTTGTAGATTTCTTACATTAACACCCTTTTGTAAGGGGTGGGTGTAAGAAATTTACAAACTTCAAGGGGTTAGATGTAAATCCTCAAAAATAAAGATTTTTCGTAATTGCACTTTACCTCAAGGAGGTGGTTGTAATTTATCCAAAAAAACAAATCGATTTTACAAAGAATAGAAAATTTCGAGTAAACTGCAAAAGTACCCATATGTAATCTCCAAATAGCAAAAATCCCCATGATAAATAAACTAGCAAAACCCCTTCTATAAAATTATTTATAAAGCACACTCAGCCCATTATTGTTTTGAGTATTGACTTGATATAAAAAGATACAAATACCCCCGGGGTTTTATAATTAATAAAATTCTTATATTTTTTTTAAAATATTTTAATTATTTTATTGTATTTTATATCTTAATTAGATAATTTAATTATTCTATTTTAATTATCACAGAAATTTATGTGGTATTTAAATTATCCCGTACATCAAAAAGAAAAACATAAATTCCCATTATTTCTATTTCTTTTATTTTTGTATTAAAAAATCC